CTGTGGAAATCGGAATTCACAAATATTTTTTTCCTCTAAATTTCAAATTTACCCCAAGTTGCCTAGTCTTGGTTTATAATTTATACTTGTTGTAAATGAGAAAATGTATTACTTTTACCTGAGTCACTTTTACCAGAAATATTATTTGGGGGGTGCTGGGGATCAAACTCAGGACCTTTTGCTTGCAATGCAGGCATGGTGCTACTGAGCTAAACCCCTGGCCTTACCAGAAATATTTTCAAGATGGACATTAACACAATACTTTATGCTTTGGTATTCACACTGAATCTTTGTAGAGGTGAGACGAGGAAAACACTCTTATTCTATAGCAGTCCCTCCCCCATTCTGGTAGTATGAAAAACACAGACTATACTATAGGTAATCTTGCGTGTTTTTAGGCTAGTAAATTAGCATTTTTTTGTCTTATGTGTTTATCCATGTTATTTCTTTGGCTTTTCTTAGTTTATCATTCTTCTACAGATTCAGTCTTTTAAACATTTCTAGAAATAAAAGGTATTCTTGACATCCTATTGTAGGCTAGACTAGCATTTCACTTGTTCTAAGAAGACAGTCTCGGAGTGGCTTGCATTTCTGCAAAATGCAAGCGCCTAGGCTAAAGTAGATCATAGAAAATGTTTTTACCTTTGTTGCTCTCCCACTGCTAATTGCTGTGTTTATGCAGTTGACTGAGCCAGCTCTGTCAAGACTTCCCCTGTGGGAGAATTCATACTGTGTGCTTGTGTGCCAGTTTCATTCCCAGCAGAGCCAGGGTGGAGAATAAAGGTTGGAGGCAAAGCAAGTAGTCTTTGAGGAGGAGCAGTGTTGAAGCCAGAGACAAGTCCCTTTGGTGCGTTCATCTTGAAAACTAGCATTTACTAAGTTATTCAGTAGAGACTCCTGTAAGGTGATATGTATGCCTGTGGCCAGTGAGCAGATCTGCAGTGATCTTTGTTGCTCTTATTCTGCTCACTTACCATCCCACCTGAATTTGAATTCTTTCCTCTTTTCTATCTGTCTTTAAGCTAGTGAACTTGTTTTTTTGGTTTGTGCTTTTGGTATTTGGGATTGAACTCAGGACCATGTACTTGTGAGGCAGGCACTGCACCACTGAGCTAATTCCCTGGCCCCAAAGTCAGTGAACTTGTGAGGGCCTTTAAACCAGTTTATTTCATGTAGCTAGATATAGGTATGGATAGAGTGCCTAAGAATTTGGAGGAAAAGGAAGAGAATTATTTTATTTTCTTCTTAGGACTCCTAGAATGGCTAAGGAGGAGTCATATATAGTATCCTGACGTAGAGAATGAAAAGAAGTTATATAGTAACTGAGACAGAGACTGTTTCCCTGAGAAATTTTATCGGTGAAAAGCTTAATATTTTTACAGCATAATTTGTAAGAACTAAAAGTATTTTTTTTATGTAAAGCAGTTCTTAGTACCAAGTAGAAATTATTATTGAACACTAGAAACAGCTGAATTTTGAAGCTGTGTAACTTTTTTTTTTTTGGACTGGGGGTCAAACTCGGGTCCTTGCACTTGCAAGGCCCAGCCCTGTAACCTTTAAATGGACAACAATTAGGAATTTTTATTTCCAGGCATATCACAACCATGTTTTGTTAAGAGCAACATGGTAATTAACTGCTTTGGCATATTGACTTCCCCTTATTGATTGTATTTTTCCTTTTTATTTCTTTTGGATCAGATTATTAAGTTGTTTTTTTCTTGTCATTCTCTTAAATATTAAAACTATATATTTAGTAGGTTTTATTTAAAAAGCAGTGCATGCATAATAGGGGCATGAGGAAACTTTTGGATGTTTTGAATAGATAGGTTTGCTATTTTAAGTGTGATAATAACTTCATGAGAATTTGTTCATATGCACCAAAACTTAACCAAATTGTTTAATATAAATAGGCACAGTTTATTGCATGACAGTTATACTTCAATAAAATGATGTAAAATTTTTTTCTGATGTGATGACTAAAAGCTTGGTGTTACTTTGATGCTACATGTCCATGACTGATACTGAGGTTGAACACTTTTATTAGCCATTTGTATTTCATCTTCTATGAATCGTTATGTTATATCCTTTGCCTCTTTTTCTGTTGGGGGAGTTTTTGTATGTGTGTTTTGTCGATTTACATAATCCAATCTTTCATTAATGGTAATAACCCACTGTCTTATTTTACCAGCTTCTATTGTTTTATCCCAGTTGATTTTTCTTGTGATTTTAAAATTAATTTCTCCCCTTATTTCCTCTATTTCTTTTCCTTTCTCTTTGATCTTTTCCTTCCTAACCAGCAGAGACAAAGCTGTCATTTTGGTTGTTTGCTGTCTGGTTTTAAGGTGTTCTGTTTTTAAAAATCCCCTGTACTTCAGTTATATCCCTGAATTTTCTTAGATTTTTACAGTTTTCATTTTTACATTAGATTTTGTTCCTTCTGAATTTTTCTGGTATGACACATGAGCTGATTGTATTTTTTTGGTGGTGGGTAACCCAACTTTTGCAAATACTGTAAGTTACATTTCCATATAAACTTGAATCTGTTTTAGAACTGTGCTTTGTTGATTTCTTTGTATATTCTTAGTATTTAATTAGGGTAGCTTGTGACAAGTTTTAATATATGATAAAGCATGTCTCTTTTTCCAAACATTCCTTTTTTTTAGACTTTCTTTATAGTGTTCCCTATAAAAATAATTAGTATACTTTCTTTCACTAGACATTATTGGGAAAGACATTAGATATATATTTTATTTGGGATGGTTAACATTTTTATATTAAATATTTGTTTAAAAAACAAAATACAATTTTTATTTAGGTTTTATTGTATATTACCTGTTTTGTATTATAGTATTAACAGTTGCAGTTTTTGAATAACTGGCTATTGCTAATTTAAAAATAAACCTTACAAGTTTTTTTTTTCTCATTGAGTTTATTGGTATTTGGGTATACAGTACAGTTACATTCATCATTGGGATCTTGTACCTTTACATAACAGGTCTTGGTTCTTATTTTTTCCCCATACCCCTGCCCTCCTTTCACCCCCTCCTCCCTTCCCTATTTACAAAAACTTTATTACCATTTTTTCATTTTCTCATATTTTTTTTCTTTTCCCTTATTTCCTTTCCCCTACCCTTCCCAATTTCCCTATAAGTTTTTATTACTAGGTCTACTAATTTGTAGTTTATTGGTCTGGATTTTCTAAGTATATTATATAAGGATAATTGGTCTCTGATTTTTATTTCCATTTCATTTGTTATGTAAAATAATAGCGATAGTTGTTTGATTGTTAATAATAGTGACATTAATACTGAATAGTTTATAATGATGTTTACTGTGGCTTTTTATTGTCTTATTTTTCATTTTTCTTTGATATACTTAACATAATAACCTCACATTTCAATGAGTTTCAACAATGTAGTAAATTTGTGTGACTATCACCAATAATAAGATATATAGGGCTGGGGATTTAGCTCAGTTGTTCCACTGCCTGCTTCACAAGTGTAAGGTCCTGAGTTTGATCCCTGGTACCCCTAAATAAATAAATAAGATATATAACAACTCCATCATCCTAGATTGTTTCAGGGTACCAAAATTCATTCAGTGCTTTTCCACCCCTAACAGAAGCAAATACATTTTCATTTATTCCATACATTACTTATTCCTACTCTGATACTTCTTATGAGTAGAATTATACTGTGTGTTGTAGCTAACTTCTTAATCCAGAACAAGATTTTTTTTAAAGTTTTGAGTAGCATTCCATTTTGTGAATAGACCACAATTTACCCATTCTCCTGTTGATGCATAGTTATTTTTAATTGAGGCTATTATGAATGAGGCTTCCATGAACAACATTCTGGTACAGATGTTAGTGGAGACATATGGTTTCACTTCTTTTCGGTAAATCCAAATTATGTTTTAACTTATAAAAGTAAAATGGCAAAAAATTTCTGGAAGGTAGATAATACATTTTATATGTCAAAAAATAGTGTATGAAAGTTCTTCTGTATATCTCTGTCAACATTTGGTGATTTCAGTCTTGTATTTTAGGTACTCTGGTGGTTGTAAAATGGCATCTTGTTTTGGTTTTAGTTTCATTTTCCTGATGACGAATGTTGAGCATACCCATTCATGCATTTTCTGCCCATTTGTTGATCTTGTAGAAAGTGACTCTTGCCTCTTGTGCTCCTTTTTTTTTTTTTTTTTTTAACCCCTTTTGGTACCAAGGATTGAACTCAGGATCTGAGCTTGCGAGGCAGGTTGTGGTGCCACTGAGCTGAATATCTGGCTTTTTTTTTGAGAAAACAGTCTTCAGGCTGGCCTTGATCTCACTATGTAGTTCAGACTGGACTCAGAGTTAGAGCAATCTGATTCCTTCAGCCTCCCAAATGCTGGGATTATAAGCATTAACAAGCATTGCCACTATTCCTGGCATTTTAATTTTTATTTATTTAGGTACTGGGCATCGAACTCGGGACCTTGTGCTTGTGAGGCAGGCGGTGGCACCACTGAGCTAAATCTGGCCTAGCCCATTTTTAAAAACTTGGTTTGTTTTTATTATGATCTATAAGAGTGTCTTTTAAATTCTTGCAAGACTTACTTATTGTGAGTATTGCTTCCCAGTCTTTGTCTTATCTTTTATTCTCGTGTCTTTCAAAAAGCAGATGTTTTTACATTCTGATCAGGTCACTATATTTTTTTTTAATGATTCTGTTTTTTTGTATCCTAGAAGTCTTTGCCATTTGAAAGTTGTGAAGATTTTCCTGTTTTTCTTTTTAAGAAGTCTTATAGTTTAGTCCTTACATTTAGATCTTCTTTTTAAGTTAACTTTTACTTTTACACCTTTGGAATAGAAATGGAGAAGTGTGTGGTTGTTCGTTTTGTTTTTTCATCATGTATTTAGTTCACTTGTTTAAAAAATCTTACCTTTAAAATAACTATGTGGTTAAAAAAATAATTATGTGACAGTGATTTAAATAAAGCTACCCCCCCATTTATTCTAGGGTAACCAGGAGCCAACAACAACTCCTGAAATGGTTCAGCCTTTTACTACCATCCCATTCCCACCACCTCCACAGAATGGAATTCCTACAGAATATGGAGTGCCACACACTCAGGACTATGCCGGCCAGACCAGTGAGCATAACCTGACACTCTACGGAAGTACGCAAGCCCACGGGGAGCAGAGCAGCAACTCGCCCAACACACAGAATGGATCTCTCCCGGTATGTGAATTAGGAGGTGGAAGAAGAGTGCATGGCGATTACACTGAAATTGTCACATCCATCATAAGACCAGAATACTCTGTGAGCTAATTGAACATTTCCATTCCATTCCTTAGCCTGTGTGTAATTTCAATTCTACTCAAGCATTGTGGCTAGAAGATAGGGAGTTTGAAGTAAAATAGTTATTTCCCAGGAACTATTGATGTAGAAATGAGGCAGACAATAGGAAGATAAGTACAGTGGTAAAAGTAAATGTAAGGGATGCCACTCTTTTCAACTTCACCAGGAGTGTCTACTATGCAAAGTCCCATGGTCCCACTCCTGTCCTCACCTATACAGTCTCTCAGCAGCATTTTCCATGTTGCCATCACAACATTGGGTGTTTTGTTTGTTCTTCCTCTGATCAATTTTTAGGGTTTGTTTTGTTTTTGTACCAGGGATCAAATTCAGGACCTTGTACTTGCAAAGCAGGTGGCAGCACCACTGAGCTAAATCCTCAGCCCTCTGTTCAACTTTTAAATTCTGTATCATGTCAAATTTGGATCCTGGAGCCCCTTTCCCTATTTTATATTTTGCCTCTTTTAACTAGATACCAAATTCACTTACTTGCTCAAGGAAGTCTTAGGAGTCATTCTTCTGTTTCTCTTGTCATTACCTCTGATCCATTTACATGTCATGGCAACGCCAACTCCATAATTTTTTACTACTTCAGATGAAATCTTCATCTTACTGCTACAGATGAAAGAGCCAGTTCTTTTGCTAAATTGGTAGGGCTTGAATCCCAATACAGCCAGTTACTTAATCTCCCTATGACTTGGGAAGATATATGAAGATAGTAGTACCTACTGTTATGAAAAAAATAATAATAGCTACCTAAAGATTTAAGAGTGTTAGGAGATTTAAGAGTTTGATTGAGGCAAGGTATTTATCATCGTCATCACCAGTATAGTAAAAACTCCATCACTTAACTTCCTGTAGTACTGCCGCCTAACTTAAACATTCACATAGCAGCCAAGATGATTTTTACCTTTTAATCCAAATGTATTGTTTTCCTACTTAATCTAATAGTTTTCTAATACAAGTAGAATAAAGCTCAAGTTCTGTATGGGGTTTCCTAATCCTCCCCAGCCCACCTCTAACCTCACCCCTTTCTGTTTACTTGCTAAAGTAAAAAGAAATAAATTAGCCATAAGTATGTATCACATGCATATCAACACTTAGAAAATTATATTGTCTGCAGGATTTTATTCAAAGAATAAAAATGTGCTTTTACCAAAGAAAGCTCTCTTTTTTTTTTAATCTCTAGTTTTTAGACTTCACTTTTTCCTTTCTGGTATCAGATTACCAGAAGGAGTGCTTTATTCAGACTTTAAGCCACTTAATAAGATTTACTTCCAGATAAAGATTTAGCCTTATAGTGGAAGCTTCTGTTACATAAGGATAGATTAAACCTGTGAGTACCTGTTGTGTGGGGGGTTACTAGAGATTGAAACCAGGGCCTTTACATTGAACTACATCTCCAGCCCTTTTTTTTTTTTTGTACCAGGGATTGAACTCAGGTCCTTGCACTTGCAAGGCAGGCCACCGAACCACTGAGCTAAATCCCCGGCCCCTCAGCCCTTTTTAAATTTTGAGATGGGGTCATGTTGCTAAATTTTCCAGGTTGGGCTCTAGCTTACAGTCCTGTCTGAGAATCCCAGAATGCTGGAATTGTAGCAGGCTATTTTCTTTTATTAGATATTGGATGACCAAGAAATATCTTTTTTAATGTTGATTAGTTATATCTAGGCACATGTTTTTTATACTTCATAAGTAGAACCATGATTGGCAGTTTGCTTGAGGAGTCCTGTAATGACAGGTAACAAATGAGCCTTCCATAGCATTTGTTCTAGAATCGTGAATTTACAAGGTGATCTGATGGCTGCATTGCCAAATAACTTTTAAATGATCATGAACTCAAAGACCCACCAGAATAGCTGTTTCAACCAAAAGAATAAAAAAAATGAAATAGGTACATCTTTTAAAAGATATATTACTATTAAAACTCTGTTCTAATCAGATGTCTTTTTACTGTTTTTTTTCAATTTCTTTTCTCATCAGTTTTGGTAATTTGTAACTTTGTAGGTAGGAATCTATTTCCTCTAAATTTACAATTTTGTTTATATATATAAAGTTATAATAATATTCTGTAATCCTTTTAATTTTCTATAGGGTCTATAGTAACATCCCATCTTTAATTATTGATTTTGATAATTTATGTCTTCTTTCTTTTTTTTCTTGGTCACTGTAACTAAGATTTGTTAAGTTTGCAGGTCTTCCCAGAAAACCAGCTTTTGCTTTCACTGATTCTTATTGACTTCTTGTTTCATAGTTTCTTGAGTTCCACTCTTATCTGTATTCTTTGCTGTCTTCTGCTTGGTTGGAGTGTGATTGGGTCTGTTTTCCTGGCTTCTTGAGTAAGATGCTGAGGTGATTGATTTTAGGGCTTGCAAGGCAGGCAGTGGAACCACTGAGTTAAATTCCTGGTCCTTTAGCAGGTTCTCTTAAAAGGTGATACATTGTTTTTTCACTTTCATTTTAAGACACTTTTAAAAGTTCCTTGTAGTGGTGGTTCCCCCTCCCCCCTGGATTAATAGAAACATGTTACTTGTCTTTAATTTTGAGACAGGATCCCACTAAGTTGCTCAACTGGCCAGGCTCAAATGGGCAATCCTCCTGTCTCAGCGCACACCCCTCCCCATTACAAGTACTTCCATCCTTGGCTATATTGTGTTAATTTCAAATGTTGAGGATTCCCCAAATTTATTTTTTTGTTTATTTGTAATTTAATTTCTTTGTGGTTTGAGAGCATACTTTGTATGATTTAAAATTGATTGAGTTTTGTTTTATGATTTAGTATGATTTAGTCTTTCCTATGAAACATTCTTAATCAGTTGGCCCTTTTATCAATATGAAATGTTCCTGTTTGTCTGTGAATATTTATTGCTTTGTCTATCTTGTCTGAGTAATATAATCACTTCAGCCCTTTTACAGTTGCTGTTTGCATGATATAACTTCTTCCATCATTCTGTTTCAACCTCTTTGAATCTAAAGTGTGTCTTATTTAAAATTTTTTTCCATATTTTTATTGGAGCATTTAGTCTGTTTACATTTTAGTATGATTATTAATATGGGTAGATTTATGCCTGTCATTTTACTATGTCTCGTGTCTTTTTTGTTGTTGTTGTTCCTCTATTCATCTTTACTGGTTTCTGTTAAATAATTTATTTGTATTATTGTCTTAGTACAATCATACCTTAGTATTTGAGTGCTTTGAAACTCAGCCACATTTGGTACTTGACATATTTTGATATGTGAATTCTCAGTGCTTATTATTTGTGTTATACGATATGCAAGGTAGAACTTGTCAGTGCCCATCTCATTGCACTTACTACAGGACTTACTACACTTTACAGCCAAAACAATTTGTTTGGAACTTGTTTTTGGTACTGGTTGTACTTCCTAGAACCAATTAATGACAAGTACCAAGGTACCACTGTATTTCTTAGTCCTTGGTCAAAGGATTACATATGTCTTTGACTTACCACAATCTATGGATGGGTTTATTCAGGTAAAATACAGCAGCTTTGCTCCCATCTACTTCAATTTGCCATACTCCTTTGTGCTATTGTGTATACTTGTGTACATATGTGTATGTGTATACCTGTATATAGTAGAAATGTAATGTAATTATTACTTTCAACAATCTTATGCATTTCATATAAAGACTATTTTTAGGGCAGTTGTAGGCTCACATCAAAATTGAGAAGTTGCAGACGTGTTCCATAGAGCTTCTGCTTCCACATGTACCTGGCCTCCCCCACTGTCAGCATCCCACATTAGAATGGTACATTTGTTAAAATTGATAAACCTGTGTTCGCGCACCATCACCCCAAATCCGTAGTTGATATTAGGGTTCATTCTTGGTGCTCTACATTCTGTGAACTCGGATAAAACATTTATCATCATCATAGTACCATACATAGTAGTTTCATTGCCCTAAAAATTCCATTTTTGTTGTGGCTGTTGTTGTTCATTCTTCCCTCCTTCTCCAGCTGCTGGCCACAGCTGATCGTTTTACTGTCAGCCTGGTTTTGCCTTCTCCAGAATGTAGTAGAGTTGGAATCATACAATACGTAGCTTTTTTTGGATTGGCTTTTTTCACTTAGTACTATGCATTTAAGATTCTTACATGGTTTGTTAAGGCTTGACAGTCATTTCTTCTTATTGCCTAGTAATTTTCTATTGTATGGTTGTTCCATATTTATCCATTCACCTATGGAAGGGTATCTTTCTTGTTCGCTTCCAAGTTTGGTCAGTTATGAATAAAGATGCTGTAAGCATTCATGTGCAGGGTTTTTCTGGACTTAAGTTTTCAACTCCTTTGCCTAAACACCAAGGGACACAGTTGCTGGATCACATGATGAAAGTATTGTTAGTTTCACAGAAACAACCAAACTGTCTTTCAAGGAGGCTATCAGGTTTTTTGTTTCCACCAGCAGTAAAAGAGATACCTCTTATTCCACATCCTTGTTAGTATTTGGTGGAGTTACTGTATTGGGTTTTGACCATTCTAACGGAACTTCATTGTTGCTTAAATTCTCATTTTTCTTGAGATACAGTGTGGAACATCTTTTATATGCTTGTTTGCAAACTACAGATTTTCCTCAGTGAGAGCTCTGTTCAGCTCTTCAGCCATTTTTTAATCAAGTTGTTTTCTAGTGTTGAGTTTTCAAATTCTCTGGCTATTTTGAAAATAAAATTTTTTGAAAATAATTTAGCATTGCCGGTAATGTTTATATCATCATCCTGTAGATCCAAGGTAATATCTAATGTCATTTCCTTCATCCTTTAGGCTTGCTTTTAGTATTTTCTATTGGATAGGTCAGTTTGAAGCAAATTTTGTTTGTGTTAATCTGGGAATGTCTTTTTAGTGTGCATTTTTTTAAGCCTAGTTTTGTTACCTGTAGAATTCTTGGTTGAATTTCTCTCCCACCCCACAAATACAATTGGTGAACCATTGTCTTCTGGACTCTGATGAG